ATCTGTTAGTAGATATTAACGCAGTGTTACATAATCCTACACACATTCGTGTAGAGTTATAACTATAATAACTATCCAATCGTAATCAAATAAGGAATCAACGTCCGTAAATAAACTGGTTAGAGCATCCATTATCAATTACTGTAAAGCGGCTGACTGTATAAAATAAAATATAGTCACGACTAACTAGTGTCTCTCCCGTGACACTTATACACAGGAAAATACTAATTCAAAAATAAAAATATTTAATTTTATTGTTCATTACTATTTTTATTTATTAACATATATTGGCCAAATATTAAACTTATTTAGGCCCATTCAGAAAAGGGCAATCACCTATTAAGTTATTAATGTGTAACTACTCATAATACAGTGTAAGATATAACGATTATTTGTATTCTAACATATCTGTTAGTAGATATTAACAAGGTATTGCATAATCATACCTACATTTGTGGAGAGTTATGAATTTAATAACTACCCAATCGTAATCTAATAGGGAATCAACGTCCGTAAATGAACTGATTAGAACATCCATTATCAATTACTGTAAAGCAGCTGACTGTATAAAATAAACAGTCAGAATAATTGAATAAATTTAAACACATCGTAGTAATCTGTTTCATAAGCCTATATTGATCTGTACTGTACCCCAAGAGGTATAATTGAGTAATTGACTGTAGATGATAGCAGAAGGGGGGATCGGTATCTGACAAGAAGAGCTCAGAACTAGGTGAACAGATTATAATCGTCTTAGTAAGAAGAGCTAATGAACCAAAATTACAAATGTTTTGCTCTCTAGCTACTCACTGGGGCATTAATTTTCATAACTACTAATATATCTTACTGTCGTACATTATTAGGTTATGAATTTGATACCTTTGTTTAATGATGGACCTCAACCGTCCATGATCTTCAAGAGACATGAAGTTTTATACACTGTATCTCTTGTCCATAATTATTCTCATTAGTATTAACACCCTTGAAAAGGTGAAATGTATTTAGAATATATATAGGGAGTTAAGGACAGTTTGAATTAGTCGAAGAAAGTAGATATATAACTAATCCCACCATTAGAATGTGGGGAGGTCTTCCAAGTCTCGATACCCCTATTCAAGGCTGTAATGTTCAGTGTGGACAGAATAGTCCAACAACTGTATAGCCACATTGAATATTTATCCCTATTACAGGCTGTAACATTCAATGTGGACAGTATAGTCCAACAGCTGTATAATTACATTGAATATTTAGATGGCTGAAGCTCTAACCCGTTATTCGATAGTATCTATTTGTGGGCTCCTGCTTATTAGAAATTGACTTACATGTTCCCTATTGGCTCTATCCATTTGGGGAAACTATAATGGATATATAAATGTGGTCACGAATAACTTGTGTCTCTCCCGTGGCGAAACACAAGAAAATACTAATTCAATGATAAGAATATGTATGATGAACAAAGGAGAGGAAAAAGCTCTATGACATACTAAAAAACGATAGCCAATAGAGGATATAGTCAACAGAATATAAAAGAAAATTGTGTTGTAACTAATTTACAAATTAACAGTATATACAGATCGTAATATTATAAAATATTTAAACCACACTATAAATGTACTAGGGGCAGGTAATAAAGATCTAATCAGTGATAAAAGGTGTATAAGAGAACCTCTCATTAAGGCCGATCATTAAACAAAGGTATCAAATTCATAACCTAATAATGTTACACAGTAAGATATATTAGTAGTTATGAAAATTAATGCCCCAGTGAGTAGCTAGAGAGTTGCTTAACACCGATCCTCTAGTTAGGAAGTAAGACTAGCTTAATGTCTCTACAATCTTTATTATTTAGTTGCAAAACATTTGTAATTTTGGTTCATTAGCTCTTCTTATTAAGACGATTATAATCTGTTCACCTAGTTCTGAGCTCTTCTTGTCAGGTACCGATCCCCCCTTCTGCTATCATCTACAGTCGATTACTGAATTATACCTCTTGGGGTACAGTACAGATCAATGTAGGCTTATGAAACGGGTTACTACGACATGTGTTTAAATTTATTCAATTATTCTGACTGTTTATTTTATACAGTCAGCCGCTTTACAGTAATTGATAATGGATGTTCTAATCAGTTTATTTACGGACGTTGATTCCCTATTAGATTACGATTGGGTAGTTATTAAATTCATAACTCTCCACGAATGTAGGTATGACTATGCAATACCTTGTTAATATCTACTAACAGATATGTTAGAATACAAATAATTGTTATATCTTACACTGTATTATGACTAGTTACACATTAATAACTTAATAGGTGATTGCCCTTTTCTGAATGGGCCTAAATAAGTTTAATATTTGGCCAATATATGTTAATAAATAAAAATAGTAATGAACAATAAAATTAAATATTTTTATTTTTGAATTAGTATTTTCCTGTGTATAAGTGTCACGGGAGAGACACTAGTTAGTCGTGACTATATTTTATTTTATACAGTCAGCCGCTTTACAGTAATTGATAGTGGATGCTCTAACCAGTTTATTTACGGACGTTGATTCCTTATTTGATTACGATTGGATAGTTATTATAGTTATAACTCTACACGAATGTATGTAGGATTATGTAACACCTCGTTAATATCTACTAACAGATGTGTTAGAATATAAACAATCGTTATACCTTATACTGTATAACGAGTAGTTACACATTAATAACTTTATAGGACCATCCAAGTAGGTGTGTATCAGTGTGTATCAGGGATCCTTAGGACTGGTGTCAATCCATATCTGCTAAGTGACCCTATGTTGGGGTAACATTCCTTATTCTGATCTGTGTCAGTGTGTATCAGGGGCTCTGAGGACAGGTGTCAATCCATATCTGCCAAGTGACCCTATGTTGGGGTAACATTCTCTATTCTGATCTGTGTCAGTGTGTATCAGGGGCTCTGAGGACAGGTGTCAATCCATATCTGCCAAGTGACCCCATGTTGGGGTAACATTCCCTATTCTGCTCTGTGTCAGTGTGTATCAGGGGCTCTGAGGACAGGTGTCAATCCATATCTGCCAAGTGACCCTATGTTGGGGTAACATTCCCTATTCTGCTCTGTGTCAGTGTGTATCAGGGGCTCTGAGGACAGGTGTCAATCCATATCTGCCAAGTGACCCTATGTTGGGGTAACATTCCCTATTCTGCTCTGTGTTAGTGTGTATCAGGGGCTCTGAGGACAGGTGTCAATCCATATCTGCCAAGTGACCCTATGTAAAAAAGGCCTGATGAGATGAGCTGCCTTGGGCTAAAATGGTCCACACGCTGCTGTATTTTAGCTCTGAATGCCTGTTGACTTGCGTGACTTATCCGCCACCAACTTGGGTTCAAGCCGCCAGTCTGTACTTTATAAATGGCTTTATAAAGCAGTGTGTACTTTATAAATGGCTCCACCTGCCACCTGTACAGCAACACAGTCTCCAGTTAGGAGGACCAACCAAGCATCTTCTTCCATCTCCCTGTTACAAAAATCAATGCCGTGTACACGTCCACTGATAGGAGACGCGAAGGTATTAAACTGATAAAAATAGTACTAAACACACCACTCCTATCTGGTGTCACATTAGCTTGACAGCGCAGTGCCCCAAATTTGCAGTAAGAGGACCGACCAAGCCTCTTCTTCCATCTCCCTGTTACAAAAATCAATGCCATGTACACGTCCACTGATAGGAGACGCTGAAGGTATTAAACTGATAAAAATAGTACTAAACACACCACTCCTATCTGGTGTCACATTAGCTTGACCGCGCAGTGCCCCAAATTTGCAGTAAGAGGACCCACCAAGCCTCTTCTTCCATCTCCCTGTTACAAAAATCAATGCCGTGTACACGTCCACTGATAGGAGACGCGGAAGGTATTAAACTGATCAGAACAATACTAAACACACCACTCCTTTTTTTTGGTGAGGCTTTACAGGACAGAGTGCTTCTCCACGTGACATGTTAACTCACGGGCAGCTGGCTTATCAAGGAACCACAGCAGCTTTCCATGTACAGGTAAGACACGTGCAGCCGGTAAGGGTTCAGGCTCTTCTTCCTGGAGGATATGCTGCAAGCCTGTTGAACGAGGTGACCTTGCTCGGGTCCCAGGTGTACGGTTCCTAAAATGGCTGCCATATACACGCCCACTGATAGGAGACGCGGAAGGTATTAAACTGATCAGAAAAATACTAAACACACCACTCCTATCTGGTGGCACATTAGCTTGACCGCGCAGTGCCCCAAATTTGAATTAAGAGGACCGATCAAGCATCTTCTTCCATCTCCCTGTTACAGAAATCACTGCCATATCCATACAAATTGTACAGAATGTCCAGGATAGTTTTCCAGGGACAAATGTTGTCGCTTGTTGAACGAGGTGACCTTGCTCGGGTCCCTGGTGTACGGTTCCTAAAATGGCTGCCATATACACGTCCACTGATAGGAGACGCGGAAGGTATTAAACTGATCAGAACAATACTAAACACACCACAAATAAGGTTTCTCTCCTGTATGGCTCCTCAAATGATGCTGAAGATTAGAAGCGGCTGAAAAGCATTTCTCACACTCCGAACAAAAATATATTTTTTTAACATTCTCTCCACTTTAAACGAAATGACGTTTGGGAAGAGATTAACATAATTAAACACAGGCAGTAAAAATACAGTTTTTAGCCATACCCTGTAACTTTAAAACTACACATCCCATCTTCATAATTACATATTTGGAATCAGCACACTTAAAACATAAACATAACCAAAAATCAGCCAAATCCATCCAGGGGTTAAAAAGTTAGCTGCAGGTCCCTTTATGACCGACCGCAAGCACATTTTCCTGCCCAAAACAGTTCCATAGATTTGGGTTGTGAGGTCGGTCTATTTCAGGCTGAAAAAACGACTAAGTCCCATCGCGAATGGGACTTAGTCTCTGCAGCTGAAATAAGGCTGAAAAAAACGGCTGAAAAAAAGACTAAGTCCCATCACGAATGGGACTTAGTCTCTGCAGCTGAAATAATTTCCCATTTACTGAACCAAGTGGGAAATAGCAAGGCAGGCACAAAGGGTTTGCACCAGGTCTGGGGACACAGGGGACACCGCCTTAAAGGGGCAGTGTCCCAATCTTCCTGATGTCCCAAAAAAGGTGTTTAAAGGGCCAGCACCAGTCACATAAAGAGTCCATAAGCCCCAATATGCCCACCGACAGTCTTAAAGGGCCATACACACCAAATAAAAGTGCATACATTTTCACAATCTCCCAGGGGCTATAGTCATGCGGGAGGAGGCTGGCAAATAGGCTTCTCCACAACCCAGGGAAGCAGGGCAATTTGCTATTTAAAGGGCCCGTTACAAATAGCAGTTTGTAACAAGGTGTCAATCCATATCTGCCAAGTGACCCGATGTAGGGGGACCAGTCCCTATTCTGCTCTGTGTCAGTGTGTATCAGGGAACCTTAGGACAGGTGTCAATCCACATCTGCCAAGTGACCCGATGTAGGGGGAACAGTCCCTATTCTGCTCTGTGTCAGTGTGTATCAGGGATCCTTAGGACAGGTGTCAATCCATATCTGCCAAGGGACCCTATGTAGGGGGACCAGTCTCTATTCTGCTCTGTGTCCGTGTGCATCAGGGGCTCTGAGGACAGGTGTCAATCCATATGTCAAGGTGTCAATATGTCATATGTCAGGTGTCAATCCATATTGATTGTGATTAGGAATGTTAGGTGATTTCTGCCCTTTATGGATTAAAACCAGACTCTGTATCAACTGTGTAATTTTCCATGGGAGTTTTGCCATGGATCCCCCTCCGGCATGCCACAGTCCAGGTGTTAGTCCCCTTGAAACAACTTTTTCATCCCTATTGTGGCCAGAAAGAGTCCCTGTGTGTTTTAAAATTCGCCTCCCCATTGAAGTCAATGGCGTTTCGGGCGGTTCGCCGGTTCGCGAACATTTGCGGAAGTTCGCGTTCGCCATTCGCGAACCGAAAATTTCGGGTTCGCGACATCACTAATTGTCAGTATATACCCCCAGTATTGCCAATTCACATGTAGCCAGTAGCAATATTGCCATGTGTAGTTGAGCAGCTTTTACTTTTTTCGCCACGTTTGAAAGTGTGAGGATATTTATGGGGTGATGAATATTAAAAATAATAAATATCAAATTTTTTTATATAATAAAAATATTAAAATAATTTTAGATTTTTATGAAAATATTCTTTTTAATATCTAGGCACTGTTCCCCGAATAATAAAGCTGAGAATTATTCACGATTTTAATTCTCTTAGATCCTACAGGAAGTTTGACTAGAGGATTTTTACTTCACACAGTAATTACAAATTAATTATAAAAATATTATTTATTGTGACAATAATAATAAAAATGTGTGACAATCAGCGAATATTTAGGTATAACATAAGTATACAATATGTCAATGGTTTCACACATAGACAGCTAAAAGCAACGGTTTTATGCAATTCCACAATAAGATTTATGATGGGACACTTCACTTAAAAACCAAATTCACAGAAAAGACAAAACTTCACAGCTGCCCAGCGTAAAGCAATAAAAACTTTGGCTGACAGTTAAATCACACTGAATTAACTCTTCCACTGCTGGCTACAATCCTCATAGGCAAAATATCCTATTATATTGCAATTTTACAATTAAAGTAATTTTCATACCAGATTTTTGACCATTCCTAGGACCATCCAATAAGAATAATTCTACCAGATTTTACGTTTGCCAAATTTTAACTTTCCTAAATAAGATTCACTATTTTATATCAGAACAAGTCAATACCTCTGGATAAAAATTTGGTATGCTAACATTTGGCAAATTTACTGTTAATATATTGTTATCTTTATTCCACATGCAGAAATTAAATTTTTATAACCATATATTCCTTATCTAATTATGATTTCTAATAATTGAAATCTGACAATGTTTATCCAGATATATATTCCTGCAATTTGTAAAATTAATTAATTAATTTAATTAAGTAAAACCAGCATAATTACCAGTTAGTTGTAGATTTTCTATCAGATGTGTAGATATATCCCAGGAATTATGAATGCAAGTATGAGAAGTTTCAGAGTTCTGAAGTTGTGTTAGTTGAGTGAGTCTAAGAGTCAGAGTGTCCAAGAGAGTGTTAAGAGTCTTGAGTATAGTCCAAGAGTGTAATGTTGTGTCCCAGTGAGTTTGAGAGTCTATTTTCAGAGTCCCTTCTTCCCTTTGTCACTAGTTGATAGGACCAATAGGGAGCTGTGGGTGTGTCTTCCCTATAGACTATCATCTAGATTTTGGTCAGTAGATGGCGCAATTATATCACCAAAAATTCTTGTCAGGGGGTCCATTTACCTTTTTGTATAATGGGTTAACTGAATTTCGTGATGTGTTTGATGTCATCTTGGTTATCTTTTATGGATAACCGTCCATCAAAGACATGTCACTTTAAAGCTTTTTTACTAGACAGAGCATCTGGTTTTGTGATTGTAAAATTAGAATTGACACATGTAGCCTTAATGTCACCCTTCCTTACAATGGAACTTTGTAAGATTCCGTTTTTAGAAAGTAAAATTAATTACTTAGTGTTATCTGTCATTGGTGTCTGGTTTCCTTGTGTGAAACTGTAGTAATATTATTTATACATGTCTATTACACATATTCCACTAATGTGAGCAAATAATATGACACTTCTTCATTGATATTATATCCATGAATATTCTATATGATTAACTTAGTACTGTTTATATATGATTTATACACTTATAGTAAGTTATAAGTGGATATTGTGTGTGTGTGTGTGTGTGTGTATATATATATATATACACACACACATATATATATATATATATATATATATATATATATATATATATATATATATATATATATATATATATATATATATATATATATATATATGTATACATTTGTCTCTAGGTTGTAGCTTTCCTCCCCATTTGCTTTAGACATCATGCCTTATCTCTTGTCTTGTTTACATAAGGCACATTCCTTAGCTCAGACTTGAATGAATAGAGTTATAGAGAGAGACATCTTGTGTCTGTCTTATCCTTGTAATACAAAATGGAGTCACCTCTATTCTGAGGGTGACTGGCAGTATACACTTTTAATTTCTTAACACAAAATGTCTGCCAATATAAATATACTGACAAAAGGTATTTTCAAGATGTCTGCCCCAATTTGCCACCAATATATAGGATATTTCCATTAATGATTTTTAGGTTCTAGGTTCTTTGTTATTGTGTACATGTACATAAATGTCATCCTGTAAAAGAGTAATATAATACAAATGACTACACATAATCTATTACCTACAATAAATATTTTTATTCACCTACATCAAAATAGTTCTTTATAAAGTATCAGGGTACAATTGCCCTATTTTTGCTATATAGGACTACCTTGCCACTAACTATCTCAATTGAAAGTGAGGCCACGAAACAAGAGGTAACCATATTAATTATGGTAATTGCAGAACCATATAAACCGACCCCAAAACAGTTCAATACTGAAATTCTTCCTATGCAGAAATCACTGTGATTTGCCTGGACTGGAAAAATGTGACCATATAAAAATTCAATATAAAGAATTTGTATGGGTTCACTACTGAGATCTTAACTTTAATGGAGCTAAGTTAATACAACCCCTGTCCCTTTCTCAGAGTACAATGGCCTTAGTGATATACAATGCCATAGTAAGACCCTCCACTATCTAAGACCCAGTCCATTGCTCACAGCTGATCACATTAATCACACCTTGTGAGATCCACTGATGTCATGTGTACTTGACAGTGCTTTGCATGACTGCCAAGAAAACTGCTGTCTGGAGAACATGGAGGCAAGCAAGAGCAAGCAAAATATAAAATTAAATGAATGAGTAACCTGCAACACAAATCTATTCACAAGCACAACGGCAGCAACAATTTTAGGACATAAAATAAAACTATTATGTAAGAATATCCCCTGACTGAAACATATGATAATACAACATGGTGTGATTGATCTGCATACACTAGTATATAAACTTGTTAAAGTACAGACAGGTAATTCATTTAAAGGAGATAAAGCTTGTCATCTCTAATTGGAATAAAAGAAAAGTTAGATTAAAAATATACATCAACAGGAGCATGATAACAAAAGATATAATACATTCTATATAGTCCTTCCAGCCTAGTCCAGTTCCAGAGATGGGAGGCCTTGTGGTGCATTGGCAGCTTCCCTGATGGTTTTTTTTTTTTTAACTTGTTTTGGTCTTATTAAAGTGAGTCTTTACTTATTTACTTTACTATAGCATTTCTATTTCATGGCTTTACTAATGACAGCTTCACTAGTGTATCATCTAGATTAGTTTTTTAATGCAATACTTTAGTGTGGTTTACTATATTGTTTGAGGGTTAAAAATTACAGAGAATTCATTACAGTTCAAACATACTACAGTGTAGAATAAACCTTAGGAAAAATGTCAATATTTTTCGTTTTTTAAACATTTGAAACACATTTTATAATAAAGAGTTTTATAACAAAACAATGAAATGTGATGTACTGATTAGTGACAGGTAGAATTTAGGTCACCCAGCAAAGTTGGAATAAAACTCAGTTATGTAAATCTAAAATTTTCAGGTTAGTTATCAGCTCACCCTGATTTGCTTTTTAATGAATAAAACTGCAGGTGATTGCTATTTAACTAACATGGAGCAAATAATGTAGATTCTAAGATATGTACAAAAAAATCATATATCTCTATGCTTCTATACATGGTATGTTCCCAGATCACAAAGCATTTAATTCTCATGAAATCCCCCCCTGCTATCTATGATTATTCAACTTTAGGCATAGATATTTGTCAGCTTAGCATCCTGACATAATGATTTATGATATAGTTTTAAAAGGTTAAACATTAAAAAGAATACGCAACAATTAAAATGCATAATGGCATGAATAATGCTTATTTTTTTGCCGTCTTTTAAATACTTCTGTAAAAAAAATATATATATATTTATTTAAATGAAATTCCACAAGGAGTCTTAATTTTATTAATTTTAGATACATTTGTCCATAACTCTTCCTTGACTGCCACAGAGCCCAATATGTGTCTTCCTGAAATGCATGACCACTATCAATTTTCATAGTAGGGGATATAGTTACATTAAGATGATGCATTAAAGGTGCAATTAAGGTGCTTTTAAAGCTTCTTTTCATCCCATTCCAGATAGGAAATTTTTATAACCATTTTAATGTACAGT